CCTAGGGCCTTCCACATGCTAATCTATATCACTCATCTACATCCACAGATCCCCAAAATGCCCTTTTGATCAGTGTTCCCTTAAAGAAGTGAATTAATACCAGTTAAAGCCACTTGAAGAGTCTGAAGAGGACATGCCCTATAAGAAGGCTGATCTTTGGGGTCTCATGTGAATGGTGAGTCACCTGACAACTATCTGGTCTGTTTTTCAGCTGTCTTCACTGAAGTTTGCCAGCAGGATGAAGTTGGTCACTACTGAGCCTGCCATCAACGAAAAGTATGATGCTGAGGTACTAAGGAGATGGTGGGCAGCTTCCCAACTCTGAGAATGATGTCTCTGTGTTTGCTACCACTCGAGTATCTGGTGGAGGTCATAAGGGAAGCCAGGCTTGTATGGTTTCCTTCCTGCCTCCACTAAAGATGTGCATGGAACCCTGGATCAATCCTTTTCCTTTCAGGGATAAGCCAGTGTCTTTAAGAGTCCCTGAAGACCCTGCTAGACTGCCACAAAAGTGGAAGGGCTAGATGATCTACCACTCAGTTCCCATGTGGGGCTCCAGGGACTTGGTACCTCAGGATTCCCCATGAGATTTCTTCAGCATTGTCTGAATCAGCATTGTCTCTCAGCATTGCCTTCCTGTCACTATGGAACTCCACCCCTCCACATTTATTTTGTGTATGTGTATGTGTGGGCACGTGTGTGGAGGTCAAAGGACAACTTGCAGGGGTCAGTTTTCGGGAAGATCATGAGTTCAAAGATAGCGTAGGCTCCGTGAGACAGACATAGCCTCAAAAATTAACCCGCAGGTTAGAGAAATGACTCAGTGGTTAAAAGCATTAATTGCTCCTACAGAAGCCCTGGATTCCATTCCCAACACCCACATGGCACCATCTGACTCCAGTTCTGAGGAATCCAATGCCCCCTTCTGTCCTCCCTGGGAACTAGGCACAAACATGGTGTACACACACACACACACACACACACACACACACATACACACACAGAAACACACACAGGCAAAGCACTCACATGCACAAAATAAAAACAAATAAATCATTTTTGCCTGGACTACCAAGTGAGTTCCAGGAAAGGCACAAAGCTACACAGAGAAACCCTGTCTCGAAAAACAAAAAACAAAACAAAACAAAAATCAGCCAAAAAGATGCTTATGAAATGATGGTTAATGGAGATGGGCATGTGCATGCTCCCATATTTCTGGCAAAAGGGTTAAACTTTCTAGGTTCTAAACTCTGGAGGATGATGCTGTCATGGAACTAGCCATGGTGTAGCAGGAATGTAGAGCTCAGTTCTGGTTCTTGAGCTCAGTGAGGATTACAAGCCCCTGGCTGACTAAACCCCGTCTATTCTGAGCTCTGATTCTGAGGTGATGGGGTCTGAGTATTTACTCCCTTCCTCCTTTCCTTCTGGTCCCCCCTCCTCCATTTTGTGGTCTCATTATATAACCCAATCTGTCCTCCAATTCCTGATCCTCCTGCCTCAGCTCCTTGTGTGCTGGCATTACAGACTTGGGCCACCACCACCCGATGAGGGGTTGTGTTTTTGAGTTTGCAGCTGCTGCATTTGCTGCTTCTGGCTTGGGCCATCCTTGTTCCTTCCCTCGTTATTTGTGAAGCCTGGGCAAAACTGTCTGTTACAGATTCTTCTTGTGCGTATATGTGTGCATTATACATATGCAAATGTGAGTACTGGAGGTCTTGCAGGACCCTGAACTGCGGGGTCTTCTGCTCCAGCTCTTTTCAGGCAGCTTCTCCCCAGGTACTAAGAGAGGCTGCTACACCTGTCAAGAATTAGGAGGAACAGTTTCCTTGTTCGCAGGATAAGCTGGAGGCTGCTTCCTCTAAGAGGGTCTGCTACTCCACTCACCTTCTGATTGGACCACATGTGTCCCCTGTGACACACTGAACAGTCATTCAGTGGCACTGCCACCATCTCAGCCAGACTTTCTGTATCCGGAACAAAGTGCATTCTCAAGAGTGAGGAGGACCAGATGGCTGAGAACAGCCACCAAAGACAGTCCACACTAGAAGGAGATCTGCTTGGGGCTTCCCAAAAGTCTGAGCTGGGATGTGGATTCTGATACAGGCCTTACGTCTCAGACTAAATTGCCACAGAACCACCATGATACCAGGGGCCTGTCAGCAAGCATGCATGGTAACAGGAGAACCTTAGTACCCAGGCGATCTGACTGGATGAGGCTAGATTATAGCCAGCCTGTGGTCTGAGAAGACGTTTGGATCAGTGGTAGACACAGCTGTGGTCACTTGTTTTGGTAGCGGCTCCCTCCAGTGGTCATTTTGTGACAAAGAAAAGCCTGTTCATGGTGAGAAGTCTCAGGGAGAAATTCCTTGTGCATCTTTTACAAAATATATTCAAGTATCAATGTAAGTGATTTGGCAAGTTCTGTTGCTCAAAATCTATCGTTTTCTACTTACTTGAATCTATGAGGTACTCTCTGTATGCGAGGCACTTTCCTTTCTCCTTCTTCCCTCTTCTTCCTCCTTTTTAAAAATTTTGTGACAGTTGCAGTATAGCCCAGGCTAGTCTCTATGCTATGTAGCCAAGGCCCGACCTTGAGCTCTTGACCCTCCTGCCTCCACCTACCAAGTGCTAGAGTTACGTGCATGTACACAGCACCACACTTGACTTTTCCTTCCTTTGTTGTGGTGCTAAGGTTTGATCCCAAGGCTCACACATGCTAAGCCACACCCCAGTCCAAAGAGTGTTCACTGATAAATGGATTTTAGGAGGTGGTGGACACGGGTGGAGGCAGCAAATCACTGGGGTGCATTTGAAGGGTGTAGCTTGTTCTTGGACCCTTCCTCACTCTCTCTGCTCCCTGACCACCATGAGGTGAACAGCTTTGCTTCAGCACCCACCCACCCACCTCCACCACATTAAACCTCATTTCTGGCCCAAAGCAATTTGCTCAGAGTTGATTGCTGGTTTTTGAAACAGAGTCTCACTATATAGCCCTGGTTAGCCTGGAAATTGTTATGTAGCCCAGGCTGGCCTTGAACTCACAGAGACCTGCCTGTCTTTGCCACCTGAATGCTGGGATTGAATACATGGACTACTGCACGTGGCTTGCTCAGATATTTTGTTACAGCAACAAAAAGTGACTAACACAGGGATCAAGCCCTTACCACAGGAGCCTTCAGTAGACATTTAAGAGCCAAGCCATGGGAGTCCAGCATGGTAGCACATGACTGTAATCCCAGCACTCAGAGAACCCGCCCAGAGGATCAGAATGTCAAGGTCATTCTTGGCCACATGATGACTTTGTAGCCTGCATGGGCTACATGAGACTCTGTCTCAAATATATGTATATGTATATGTATATATATATATATATATATATATATATATATAGTGATTTTTTAGAAAGAGCAGTGTGAAGTGGGGAAGAGATTACCATTTTAAATAGAGTGATTATGATACCCCCAATTTGGAAGTGTTTGAATGAAGATTTTCTAGATGTTTGGGATGAACCATGGAAATACAGTAGAGAAAAGTGTCCCTGGGCAGAGGGGATGGGTATGCAGAGGCATAAGTGTACCAGTATGTGGGCAGTGGAGTGGATCAGGGAAGAGCAGTAGGAAAGAGGTAATGGGGGAAGATCATCGAGTCTTATCTCAGGTCACTGTTATTTTACAGAAATCTATAAGGATAACTATAATCCTTGTGACACTGTTTATCATTACAGAAAAGGAGGTAAAGACCTGGGGAGGTGGCTCAGTTGGTAGAGTATAAACTAGGCATGTTGCTGCATACTGTAACTCCAGCATTTGACAAGTCAGAGTAGGAGGATCCTATCTTCAAGATGGTCAGTTACAACGCAAAGCCCAAGGCCAGCCTGAGATACACGCGGGTTTGGTGGATTGAGGTGCTTGTCATCAGCACTGTGGTGGCACCTCAGTTCACTGCCCAGGATCCATGGTAGAAGGGGAGAACAGAGTCCTGCAACTTGTCCTCTTGACCTCCACACATATGCCATGGTCCAGGAAAGGCCATGTCCTGGGAAACTAGGGAAAATCCTGGAGCTACTGGGAGTTGGGTTTGAAGACCTGTAGCCTGTGCTTCCTGTTCTCAGTCTCCCTTGATGAAAGAAGCCATCTTAAGACCAAGCTCATTCCAGCTGGAGAAGGTTCACCAACAAGGATGGAATGTCCTAGACACTGAGAACACACTCTGGATTACCAGGAATAACCAGGATATCTGGGTCCAAATTAAGAAATTGAACATCTAGCTGGGTGTGATGGTGCACACCTTTAGTCCCAGCACTCTGGGGACAGAGGCAGGTGGATCTCTGTGAGTTTGAGGCCAGCCTGGTCTACAGAGTGAGCTCCAGGAAAGGCGCCAAAACAACACAGAGAAACCCTGTCTCCAAAAACAAACAAGCAAACAAAAAAGAAAAAGAAATCGAACATTTGGTGTGAAGAAGCCAGGTAGTTTTTCTGATGACCCTCTTCCCTACTTCTTATATTTCCCTGGCAGAGAATGGTCAAGAACTTGGAGAAGGAGCTGGCATTGCTTAAGCAGGAACTGGCCATCCATGATAGCCTGGTGAGGGACTGGATGTGGGGGAGGAGGGAAAGCTGCTGGGAGCAGAGAGGGGCAGACAGCATAGTAGGTCAAGGCCAGGGGCTGTGGGGTGGGTTAGGAAGCAGGAAAGGATCAGCAGTAGGCATGGGGGGGCAGGTGGAGTCCTCAGGGGCCTACCTGGGCTTATGGTCATGATTCTGATGGTCCTCAAGGCAGAGACAGGATCTCCCTACCTACCTTGTGGTTTACTGAGACTTCCGGTTTGGAGCAGCAGGCTTCATGTACAGTCCCCTTCCCCATTGTCTCTCTGACCCATGCATCTGGCCTGTTTTCAGGCCTTCCCTGCCAGGACCAGGCAGTAAGACAGCCAGCCAGCATAGGCATCAGATACTCTCCCAGCCCCATACTTTGGCTCTCAGAATGGCCTTTGCTGCTCCTCCTTGGACTCAGGTTCTTGTTGCTTATGTAGCACATGTTCTTCATCCCTCAAGTCCAACCGCACTCTCGTGAATTACGACCCCATGGATGAGATCCAGATTGCTGAAATCAACTCCCAAGTGCGGAGGTACCTGGAGGGGACCCTGGACGAGATCGATGTAAGTTGTTCTGCCGTGGGACCACCATGCTCAGCCAGCTTGGACTTCCTGAGTACTGCCATGTATGGAATGGGTGCAGTAGATGGGAACTGGTGTAGACCCTAGCTTCCATGTTTAGGGTTACAAACCTGTGGAGCTGTATACAACGTGCAGTGGGCTGGAACAGTCTTATACCAGAGGCGGTCTTCTATCTCACGGCACAGGCGCAGGTCTTGAAGCAAAGCTGCCCTGACACAATCCCAGGTTCCTCCAGCCGATGACCTGGCTGACTGTTGAGGAGCCTCATCTGTGCAGCAAAGGGAACACAGGCTGAGGTTGGCTAAACTGCCCCTTGAGATAAGCTTGGCTGTGCCTGGTGGCATGCAGCTGATAAAGGATGGTGGTCAGGTTGATTGTCGGTAAAGGAAACCCGCCCCCCAGAGCCCACTCTTGGAATATAAAAGGAGAGAACAGCAGGCACACAGGAAGAGCTAGAGGAGGGGGATGTGTCTTGGTTTTTACAGTGCAGCCATAAAACCTTTCACCAGGGAAACCTTTCACATGGGCTCTATCCCTCTCATGGCAGTCTGTAAGTCCAGGGGATCTGATGTCCTCTTCTGGTCTTTAAGAGCATCAGGCATACACATTCATGCAAAGCACTCAAAAACATAAAAATTTTTTAAAAATCGTTAAAAACTTAAAAATAGTTTTTAATAAAGGTTCAATGAGTACTCACTTTTAAAGCTATTAATCAGGGACTCAGGATGTGACTCGGTTGACAGAGTGCTTGCCTATTGTGCAGGAAGTCCTGGGTTTGCATCTCCAGCATCACATACACAGGGCCTAGTGGCACATGCCTGGAATCCCAGCACTTGGGAGGTGGAGGCAGGAGGGTCAGAACTTCAGGGACATTCTCAGGTGTACAGCAAGTTCCAGGATGGCCTTGGATAGATGAGACCCTGTTTCAAAACAGACAGATGGACAAACAACAACAAACCATTAACCAAGTGTATCTCTCTGCTCTTGGAAGTGTTAGTAATACTTTGTTGAGAGGCTTTTAAAAAGATATTATTTTACTTTCACTTATTATGTGTATATATGTGTATCTGAGTGTGGGTTTGAATACTTTCACGCAGTACCTGTGGAGGCCTAAAGAGGCTGCCATACCCCCTGGAACTGGAGCTAAAGCCTTGTCAGCTGTCTGAGGCAGGCACTGGGAACAAGAGAAGTGGATGTTCTCAACTGCTGAGCCTTCTCTCCAGAGTCCGCCGAGAGCCCTCTGCACTTACCTCATCCTCAGAATGGGATGGTCCAGAGTCAGCCAAGGGCTCCTGACTTCTCTGCTTAGACACAGCCTAGTTCCTAGGTTCTGCTGTCTAAACTCGGTTTTGCTCTCTTCCTGCCAGATAATCAATCTAAGACAGATCCAGGAGGTGTTCAACCAGTTCAGGGTGGTTCTGAGGTAGGTCTCACCCTACTAGCCCCATCTCATTCTTTTTCACACTTTCTTCTTCATTTTCTATGGCCTAGGCACTTGCCTTCAAGAAAACACTCCTATGTAAGTGTGTGTGTGTGTGTGTGTGTGTGTGTGTGTGTGTGTGTGTGTGTGTGTATGAAGTGCATTCTGTGCTATGTGAGGAACCAGATGTGACTGTTTAGGGTGTGTCCAGGTCCCTGATGGATGTTTTCTGAGTTCATTAATTGGGCAGGACTCTCTGGAGTACCACACTCTGTGAGTGTGCCCAGAGCTGGGCCTTGTGGATCTTCCCTGTCCTTTACTTCAAGGAGCACTTTCAGTTTATTTGGGTGCAGACCGATTGCCTGAGCAGCTCATGCTAGTTGGTATCAGACTGGTCATTTGACTCCGAGGGTCCTGTTAGAACCTAGGCGATGGCACAGTCCTCATGCAGGTTTACAGGTTATTAAATGTCATCTTAGAGCTGATGCACTGGCATGTGATGTGGCTCTGTAGGTTTGGGGACCGGACGATGGCGGAATGTGTACACTGTGAAAGGGATGGGCCCTTTGGTCTGCATTGTCTTTTGACTTATGATGAGGCTGTGGCTCCATCACCAGGGCTTTCCCTAACCAACTTTTAATCTAATATTTGGACCTTAGCCCAGTGACTTAGCAGGGCCCCCATTACAAGTGTTATCTCACTCTCCCAAGCCAACAGGAACAGGAAGTGGAGTCTGCCTTGCGCAGGAAGTACACTCTCATAGACAAGAATGACTTTGCAACTATTTCTGCTGTCCAGAAGGTAAGCATGGTTGCCTCTTGCTGACAGCACTCACCTCAGACTTTCTATCTTTGGTCAACTTTTACAGAAACTGCAAGAGTTCTTAGACCAAGATAACACCAGGATGAACATCGAGTGCCCTGTACACAAGTAAACCACTTTAGGGGCTGGAGAGAAAGCTCAGTCAATAAAGTGGTTGTTGCACAAACATGAGGCATTCAGTTCAATTCCCAGAACCCATGTAAAGCTGGGTATGGTGGTGCATCCTTGTAGTGCAAGCTCTGGAAAGGTGTAGAAAGACAGATCCCTGGGGCTTGCTGGCCAGCCAGCCTGACATAGTTTGTGAGTTCCAGGCCAATGAGAGACCCAGCAGTAAACTGTTCCTGAGGAATAACACTCAAGGTTGACCTCTGGTTTCCACATCCACATACAGACATACACAGGAAAAAAAAGTATACCACTTTTGCATTGAGAATGATGTCCATAAATTAGAAATATGGCTAATAATATATATGACCAATGCTTGGAACCAGGTTGGAACTAAGTCTTAAGATCTTTAGAGAGTATTGGGTGGTGGTGGCACACACCTTTACTCAGAAGGCAGAGGCAGGCAGATCTCGAGATCTGATCTACAGATCTGGTCTACAGAGCAAGTTCCAAGACAGCCAGAGCTACAACACAGAAAAACCCTGTCTCAAAAAAACAAAAAAACAACAACAACAAGAAAGGAAAGTAGACATTAATTTTGTAGGGTTCAAGGACAGCCTGAAGCTGGCAGCAGCAGCCAAATCTGGGTGTGTCTGGAGAACATGCTCACCCAAAGTTTTGGGCCATGAACACTTGCATTCCTGAGAGGCTCAAACCTCTAATATAACCCATGTCCCTTGTCCTGACCTCTCTATCCAGGCAGGGCTTATGGATGCTGAAGGTCACCTCGTAGGTGAACCTGATGGACAAAGCTTTGGACTTGGGGTTGCTCCTTTTTCTATCAAACCTGGAAAGAAACTCAGGTCTAAGAAGACACTGAAAGATCAGTTCAGGTGAGAGATCTGTTTTGCCTCCTAGCAAAGAACCTAGCCTAGCACCTAGGCTCCTTGGTGGAGAGAGGGCACAGCATGGCCTCCCCCTCTCCCATAGCATCTTAACTGCTAGTGCTCACTACTGCCAATGCTGGGAAATCTGTGGGGTTCAGATCAGGGCCATACCCTGGGTGTTCCCACTCATTCTCATAGCACCCCCAGTGGGACCAATGTTACCATTTCACTGAGTAACTTCCCAATGTGATATCAACTGTTAGGTAGTAGGGTCGCAGGGAAGAGCCCTGCCAACACCAGGCACCGCTATGCCCGCTGGTACTTCTGTGATACTTCCCACAGGTATCCCCCTTGACATTCCCAAGCCATCTAAATCCTCAACTCATCTTTTAGGTGAGACTCAGTTTATTGTTGTGCTTGGGGGGGTGGTGAGAAAGGGTCTCACAGTGTAGCCAAGGATGGCTGCTCCCAGACTCATGATGATCCTCCTGCTTCATGTCCCCAAAAGCTTACATTACAGATATGTCTCATCCCACCCAGCTAAGACTCATTTTTTAAGTGCAAGTAGTCCCTAGTCTGCTGCCCAGGCCACTCTGGGTCGCAGTAGCAGAGTACAGGTTCCAGAGTTGAGACCTGGGCTCATCTGCCTTTTCTGTGTTTCTTACCCTTAAGAGGTTTCCTTGTGTGAGGCAGGCGAACTGATCTGTACCTGTTTTTGTATCCCTAAAATGGGAATAATGATATTAATAATGATAGCATCAGAACTAAGGGCCGGCAGTCCTTGCACATAACTTCACGTGGAGGCTGGTCCTCTCAGCAACACCTGAGAAGAAAGGGGGCTGAATGTGTTATCCACGCCTGTAACCCCAGCACCTAGGAGGCAGAGGCCATAAAATTGTGGATTCAGGGCTGGTGAGATGGCTCCACAGATAAAGGTGCTTATAAGCCTGAGGACCCAAGTTCCATCTGTGGAACTCACATAGACGTAGAAGAACCAATTATCCTCTGACATCTTCTCCAAGTCATGGACTCCCTCACACATGGTAATAATAAAGTAAAAAAAAAAAAAAAAAAAAAAAAGCTTGGGCTGGAGAGATGGCTCAGTGGTTAAGAGCACTGACTGCTCTTCCAGAGGTCCTGAGTTCAATTCCCAGCAACCACATGGTGGCTCACAACCATCTGTAATGAGATCTGGTGCCCTCTTCTGGCCTGCAGGGACACATGCAGGCAGAATACTGTATACATAATAAATAAATAAATCTTTAAAAAAAAAAAAGCTTGTGAGTTTGAGGCCTCATGGGGGTACATAGATGGTACAACCACCCTCCCTCCCCTGCAGAAAAGGAAGGAAAGGGAGAAGGAAACAGGAAGAAGGGGGAACAGACAAAGGAAGAACAGACAGAAGGAAGGAATGAGGAAGAGCCATGGGGACGTAGCTCTTCTGGTAGGTGCTTGCTGGGCAGGCACAAAGCCCTGGCTTTGATACACGGGAGGACCTGAGCTCAGTACCCAATACCCATGTCCGATGGCTCACAGGGGCAGTAACTCCATCTGCAGGGACAGCTGACATCTCTGACCCCACAGGGCACTGCTCTCGTACTCGTGCCCACATACATACACAAATGTTTTTTAAAAAAATAAGGAGCTGCCAGCCGCCAGGTATAGTAGTGTACTACTCCTTTAATTCCAGCACTTAGGAGGCAGAGGCAGGCAGAACCCTGTGAATTCTAGGCTAGCCAGGGCTACATAGTAAGACCTTGTCTCAAATAAATAAATATGTAAATGATACATAAATAAAATAAGCAAGCAAGCTAAATGTGGTAGGTTGCTTGGTTTAGTAGGCTTGAGCAAGGTCTCATCTTAGGGTCTTTGCCAATGCCTGGGCCTTGGTGTTTCCCTGACTTTTTTTCAGCTCCTCAGCAAGAAAGGAAGGTGCCAGCAGCCCTGTGAGTGGCAAGGACTTGGATGTGGTTTCCATCTCCAAGACTCAGCTGATCCCATCTTCCAGAGATGGCGATGTCAAAGACATGCTTTCACGAGACAGGGAAACGTCCAGCATTGAGCCCCTTCCCTCGGACTCTCCAAAGGAAGACTCACGCCCGCTCAGGTAACCATCCAAAGACAGGGAGATCTTCCACCAGACCAGAGCACACCAAACCGGAGTGTGGTCCTTACATGTTAGGTAAATGGTGCCTGCGGCAGAAGAGAAACAAACAGGGGAAACAGAGAAAGTCCAAAAGGAAGAAATTTGGGAACATGTATGCATGCAAAATGATCCAACCTCAGTCTTCCAAGATACACGAGGAAGAATCATTTTAGGGCCTGGGAAAATAGCTCATCCAGTAAAGGCACTTGCCACCAATTCTGACAACCTGAGTTCAATCCCCAGGACACACGTGAGAGAACCAATTCCCCACTGTCAGTTGTCCTCTGACCTCCACACACATGCACCACACACACACACACACACACACACACACACACACACACACAAACATCATTTTAGCACACATCAGTTATTTTAAAGTGATATGTCTTTTGCATAAGTAATACATTCTAGAAGCCCACCATGGGAGTGTATACCTGTAATCCTAGCACTTGGGAGGCAGAGGCAGGAGGATTAGGAATTTAAGGTGACCCTTAGCTACAAAGAGTTAGAGACCAGCCTGGGATACATAAGACCTTGGCTTTAAAAGTGAACCACTGGAGCTGGGGATCGATGGGTGGGTAAAGGTGCTTGCCATGCACCTGTGATGATGACCTGGGGTCCCCTGAACCCAGGCAAAGCCGGGTGTCTAGCAGCAGTACCTATAAGTCCCCATCCCTACAGTGAGATGGAGACAGAAACGGGAGAAGCCCTCAGGACAGCTAGCGTGGCATTTGCTGTAGAAAAAGAACAAAGAGACACTGTTTCAAACATTGTGGAAGGCATACCCCAACACCTGCAGTTTTCTGATCTCTTGTCCATATCCATATTCACTGGTGGACAACAGGGGTGTGGGGTCAGATTTTAGGATCCAGGCTGAGGAAATAGAAGGGGGACATGAAAAAATCATGTTCATCACATCATTAATGAGAAAAAAAAATTTTTTTAAAAAGTAAACACTTTTGATAGTTAGTATTAGATAAAGGGCATTGAATGAATTATTATCCCTGCCTCTGGTTTGTACAAGCACATGCATGAAGACCTTCTTCTGAGTCTATGTACATTTTAGAACATTCAGAGAAGTTCAAGAGTTGCACAGTGAATGCCCATACACTGAGAGCCCTCTAGTTTCTGTTGGCAGGCTATTATATTTGTTTCCATCTTGTGTTGTCTTTTTAAAAATGCAGTTCAAATAACTTGCCAATATCAGTCCACATCCTTCTGTGCCAACAGTTGTATCATGTTAACTGTGGTTCTTAGAGAATTCCGTGCATAGGGGGGTATGTATGGTGCATGCACATGAGTATGTGTGCGTATACCCCTATCCTGAGCAGCACATCTAGTGTCTTTCCCTCTTACTTTTTGTCATAAACCTCAAGACATAGTCTCTCACTAAACTGGAAGCTTGCTGTTTCAGCTAAACTGGCTGATCTGGCACCCTTGCAGATCTGTCTGTTTTTGCTCCCTAGTGCTGGAGGTATAGACATGATGCTTGACTTCTTATGTGGGTTCTGCATTATTGTATGTGACTTTTCCTGAGCAGACATGAACCAGTGACAGAACAAACTAACAGTGCCTCCAAAGTCCAAGTTAGTGAACCAATGACTCTGTTGGGTTTTCTTATAGGAGCATGGGTGACTTAAAGGCGTCTGCATCACCAAAAAGTCTACCCCAGCCTTGGTGATGACTCATAAAAGCTACACCCCTGGAACTCTGTGTGACTTGTAGGCAGCTGGACAAGTCAGAGTACACCCCCTCCCACTGCAGTTTACTGTTTCTATAACCTTGGGAAAGGGGGTCTGGTAAATTGTGTTAGTGTCAGGAACTTCCTGAGAGTTATGAGTTGTTTACTTTCTAAGTCTCATGGGCTTCTGTGCTGGTTTGAATAAGAATGGCCCTCGGGCTGGAGAGATGGCTCAGTGGTTAACAACACTGACTGCTCTTCCAGAGGTCCTGAGTTCAATTCCCAGCAACCACATGGTGGCTCACAACCATCTGTAATGAGATCTGTTTCCTTTTCTGTATACATAATAAATAAATAAATCTTTAAAAAAAAAAAAAAAAAGAATGGCCCTCATAGGCTCCTATGTTTGAATGTTTAGTCACCAGGGAGTGAAACTCTTTGATAGGATTAGAAGGATTAGGAGATCTTTGTTGGAAGAAGTTTGCCATTAGGGGTGAGCTTTGAGGTTTCTTTATTTTATTTATTTATTGTTTGGTTTTTAAAGACAGGGTTTCTCTGTATAGCCCTGGCTGTCCTGGAACTCATTCTAGACCAGGCTGGCCTTGAACTCAGAGATTCTCATGCCTCTGCCTCCCAAGTACTGGGATGAAAGGCATGTGCCACCACTGTCTAGCTATTTTGTTTTTAAATTTATTTATTTTTATTTTATGTGCGTTGGTGTTTTGCCCGCATGTATGTCTGTGTGAGGATGCCAGATCCCCTGGAACTGGAGTTATAGACAGTTGTGAACTGCCATGTTGGGAATTGAACCCAGTGCTCTTAACCGCTGAGCCATCTCTCCAGCCCTGGGCTTTGAAGTTTCAAAGAGCCAGAGTCTCACTCTGCCTGCAGATCAGGATGTAGCTCTCAGCTGTTTCTCCAGCACCATGCTGCTGTGTCTGCCCCCATGCTTCTCCTACCATGATGATAATGGACGAAGCCTTTTTAAGCAAGCCCCCAATTTCCTTTGTAAGAGTTGCTGTGGTCATGGTGTCTCTTCACAGCAATACAGCGGTAACAAAGACAGCTTGCTTTCCTTCTCCTGGAGGGAATTGCTCTATAACATGGCGATATGAACTCAGGTCCTCAGACTTACAGAACAAGTCCTCTTAGCCAGACCCTGAGGTCCTCTCAGAGAAAATTTAATACCATGAAATAATGCCTCTGTGAAAAAAAGAAAAGATCATATATTTTGTGTGGCTTCAACCATTTAAAAATCTGTCAAAGAGGGCTGGAGAGATGGCTCAGAGGTTAACAGCACTGGCTGTTCTTCCAGAGGACCTGAGTTCAATTCCCAGCAACCACATGGTGGCTCACAACCATCTGTAATGAGATCTGGCGCCCTTTTCTGTATACATAATAAATAAATAAATCTTTAAAAAAAATCTGTCAAAGAAATCTCAAGAGATTCAACAGACTCTGGATCCAGATAGGTGACAGTGATTTTGTTTTCAGTTTCTTTCCTTTCCTCAATTTTTGTAGTGGGCATGGATCCTTGGAACAAAGATGGGGGATTGATTCCTACAGACTAACTTCCATCTGACATAAACGATGGATGCCTAGGATCTCTACCCTCTGCCCTGGGAAGTCACAGGGAAGAAAGATGACATACCTTGTGTCTCCAAGACAGGGGTTCTGTTCTTTTTCCTCTTTGACCTCTCCCTCTGTCCCCAGACCCAGCACCCCACCCTCGAAGCCTGTGGCCTTTGAAGAGTTTAAGAATGAACGAGGTAGTGAGATCAACCGCATCTTCAAAGAAAACAAATCCATCTTGAATGAACGAAGGAAAAGAGCCAGCGAGACCACCCAGCGCATCAATGCCATCAAGCGGGAGATTGATGTGACCAAAGACTCACTGAATTTCCAGAAGTCACTACGGGAGAAGCAAGGTAGATGTGAAGGGAAGATGGCCGGGGCGATGTGGGGCTCAGAGTCACCAAGTTGTTAGTGTGGCAGCCTTGGACACTGAAGGACCAAGATGGGAGGGGCCAATAGAGAGCTTTAGGGTACAGACCTATGTCATCCAGCAGGCTCTAGGCAGCCCTTCCTGCCAGCTACCTCTGCCGGTGTTCCTGCTTACTGCACTATTTCAGAACTAAAGCTGGGTCTTCCCCCTGGTATGTGCTGTTGCTCATGGAGAAACTGGCCCTTGGCCCTGCAGAAACAAAGCCCCACACACTCCTAGTGAACACCGGAGGCACAGTAGAGAAAGCAAGACAGTTCATTTTATAACCTTGTAAAGATGGGTACCATTGACAGAAATAAAAATGGCAGGGTGTACTACAGGGGTGCAAAGAAAGTTGGGCTTTTGTTTTTAGAGACAGGGTTTCTCTCTATGTAGCCCTAGCTGTCCTGTAACTCACTCTGTAGACCAGGCTTCTACCTGCCTGCCTCCCTCACAAAGTTTTTAATAGCCCTGAATACAGGTCCCTCCCCACTTTCCTTACTGGCTGAGTAATCAGAAGGGTACATTTTTGTTGTTGTTGTTGTTGGTTGGTTGGTTGGTTTTGTTTTGTTTTGAGACAGGGTCTTTGTATGTAGCCCTGGATGTCCTGGAACTCTCTGGCCTTGAACTCATAGTGCTCACCTGAGCTCAGTCCTCGAGGGTACTACACATCATCAGCCACTTATGTCTCTTAATTTCTCAACAAAGACATGCATGGATTTATGTTTACATTTTACCTTCTGTTTATTGTAAAGTTTTTTGGGAGCATAAACCCATCATGTCTGCAGGTCATTAGACAGTTTTGGCAGCTAATAATTACTTACTCTAGACTAGCCGCCAGTGTTGGCAGGGGCCCGGGGTCACCTTTTCATCCACAGCTGGACCTAAGGACTGAAGGCACCTTTGAATATGGACCATTACACGTTTGTATTTTTAGTCCTGAAGAAATCTCCTCAGGAGATGGGTGTTGGTGACCCCTTCATGGTCACTTAGTCCTGGTCTGCTCTCCTTTGGCCGATGGTGGTTTGTCTGTGGCAGGGGTACTGCTGGGGACCTCAAGAAATGAGAATGAGGCTGCCAGAAGGCCACGTGGCCTGATATCAGTGGAACCATTCCTTCTTTTTTTTAACAGAGCTGAGGACTGAACCCAGCTGAGGACTGAGCGCTAGGCAAGCGCTCTCCCACTGAGCTAAATCCCCAACCCCATTCCTTCTACTCAGCTCCGGACACCTGTGCTAGCCTGGCAGGCTCACTCTTTAGGGCAGGAGCAAGCAAGAATCCTGCATGGGGACAGTGCTCACGGTGTTACACATAGCGGACACCTACATTGTGGGCCAGGAACAGTCCAGTGCGAGTGTGCAGAGGACTGGTCGTGACAGCCAGTCAAGGGCAGAGTCAGCCTGCATTTTAATAAGTGACCGCCCTGACTCTGAAAAGGGGGTTCAGTTAGGCATGGGGGTGCATTGTTGTAAAAAGCAGGAGTATCACCAGAAGTCCAGGCCAGCCAGAGCTAGATAATGAGACCCTGGCTAAACAATTAAATTAAAATTTAAAAAGCTGTTGAAATGGCTCATTGGGGTCTGGGGAGATGGCTCAGGGTTAGGAGCTCTTGCTGGTCTCCCAGAGGACACAGCTCTGTTCCCAGCCTGCACACTAGGCAGCTCACAATTGCCTGTGCTTCCAGCTCAGGGATCGGACATGTGGCATTCACATGCAGACAGACACATATACATGAATAAAAAAAGTTAAAAAGAAAAAGAAATGACCCATTAGGTAAGATTAGTAACCATCAACACTGACAACCTGAGTGTGATCCCTGGAACTCACAGACTAAATGGAGAGAACTGACTCCTGCAAGTTGTCCTCTGACCCCCATCTGTGCACTGTGGCACACAAGGACACACAGACAGACAGACAGACAATGTAATTTTTTACCTTAAAAGTTATTTTTTTTAAATAATTTATTTTATGTGCATTTGTGTGAAGGTGTCAGATCTCCTGGAACTGGAGTTACAGACAGTTGTGAGCTGCCATGTAGGTAATGGGAATTGAACCTGGGTCCTCTGGAAGAGCAGCCAGTGCTCTTAACCACTGAGCTATCATCTCTCCAGCCCCTTAAAAGTTAGTTTTAATAAATAAAATAAAATAAAATAAAAAATGAAAAATAAGGGGAGTTCAGCAACCAAATTGTTATTCACTTTCCTGGCAGTCAGGGCACATCACAGGGCCTCTCCTCAATAAATCAGAATCCTGTTCCAGGCCAGCTTTCATGGGTGACTTCCAGATGTCACTTGGTTTTTCCCTGCAGGTCCGTTGGGTCATTTCACCCCCAGAGGTAACTTTATTTCCAGATTCCTGGACCTATTCTGCTCATACCCTTCAGACCAAATATGACCTGCTATTGTAGAGGCCAAAGGCCTTGGAAACTAAGGAAGCAGAGGTGGCAGCTGCAGACACACTCCTGCCCAGAACCCCGGGAGGGGGCAGCTGAAGACCTCCCAGGACCCGCACACACTTTTTTGGCCTGTGCCTACACATTCTTTAAAAATACAGACCCTGCCAGGCAGCGGTGCGCACACTTTTAATCCCAGCACTCAGGAGGCAGAGGCAGGCGGATCTCTGTGAGTTGAAGGCCAGCTTGGTCTATAGAGTGAGTTCTAGGACAGGCAGGGCTAGAAACCCTGTCTCAAAACAAAACAAAACTACAGACCCTGATGATAAATTCACATATTTAAAGGGATGCATGCACTGTGACATGAAATTTACCCTTTATATTTTTTGAAAAATGTGTGTGTGTGTGTGTCTGTGTGTAGGTGTCATGAGGTAGGTGCCTGCAGAGCCAAGGGGTGTTATTTTCCCTGGAACTGGAATTACAGGCAGCTGCAAGCCATCTGGTGTGGGTGCTGGAAAACACAATTGGGTCCTTTGCAAGAACAGTAAGCACACTTAACCACTGAGCATCTCTACAGCCTTTTGTGGCAAGGTCTTATCATAGGCCTTGAACTTGAGATCCTCCCCACCTCAGCTTTCCACTGAACTAGGATGGTTGGTCTATACCTCTAAACTCAGTGAAAGTGGACATCTCCATAGAGTAAGATCATGGTAAAATAAGGATCTTTTTCTCTTCTTTTCTTTTCTTTTCTTTTCTTTTCTTTTCTTTTCTTTTCTTTTCTTTTCTTTTCTTTTCTTTCCTTTCCTTTCCTTTCCTTTCCTTTTCTTTTCTTTTTTCTTTTGAGACAGGCAACTTTGAAGGTTTATCTGCCTCAGCTATAATTATAGGCATGTGCCCATCTCTGGAAGAAAGAGTTGGGTTTTTTGTTTGTTTGTTTTTTCGAGACAGGGTTTCTCTGTGTAACAACAGCCCTGGCTGTAGACCAGGCTGGCCTCAAACTCATAGAGATCCGCCTGCCTCTGCCTCCCGAGTGCTGGGATTAAAGGCGTGCGCCACCACTGCCTGGTTTAGCATTGTCTTCTTTTTGGCACACCATCCTTCCCCCACCCAGAATGACTACTGCCTCATTCCCTGACCTTGCCCATCACCTACAGGTGAGTATGAGAACAAAGGCCTGATGATCATCGATGAGGAGGAATTCCTACTGATCCTGAAGCTCAAAGACCTGAAGAAGCAGTACCGAAATGAATACCAAGAACTGAGAGACCTCAGAGCTGAGATCCAGTACTGCCAACGCCTGGTGGATCAGTGTCGCCATCGCCTGCTCATGGGTATTCCACTTGGGAAGGTTGGCAGGCTCCTTGAGGTTAAGAGAGGCCTCAGGGCAAGGCCAAGGACCAGTTCTGGAAGTGCTCTCTGACCAGCTCACTGCAGAGCCAGGGCTTTGTCAGGGGCTTCAGGAGTGGGGTTTCCAGGGCTGTAAGGGCTGGAGATGGGAGGTGAGAAGAGGGAGCTGCTGGGGCAGGACGTAGAGATGAGATGAGCCTGCACTCGCCCTTGCCTGCTTCCGCACAGGCTCCCTCATACCTCACAGCGCTGTCTCTCTGACTCTTGCAGAATTTGACATCTGGTACAATGAGTCCTTCGTTATCCCAGAGGATGTCCAGGTAGCACTGAAGCTGGGCAGCAGTATCCGGCCAGGCATGGTGCCTGTCAACAGGATTGTGTCTCTGGTGAGCACCACAAGGGTAAGAGGGTGGTGAGTTGATCACAGGGACAGTAGCAGTAATGTGGGTAATTCTTCCTCTCCCATGGATTGATGTCTAATGCTGCCAGTGCCCAGGTAGGCAGGCAAGTGTAAGTTCCTCAATTATTGAAAAGTGAAAAACAGAGCTAGAGAGATCGCTCAGCAATTAAGATTACTTGACACTCTTCTGGAGGACCTGCGTTTGGTTCTCAGCCCCCACATCAGGCAGCTCACAACTGCCTGTAACTGCAGCTCCAGCTCCAATGCCCTCTCGTGGCTTTTGCAGGCAATAGCACACATGTGGCATAGAGTAGCACAGACATAAACACATAAATTAAAAAAATCCTATCTTTGGTTTCCAAAGCAACTTTGAGGGAAGGAGAGGTTTATTTCTTCAGCTCACAGTTGTAGCTGGAAGCTACATCATGAAGGGAAGTCAGGGCAGGAACTGAAGATAGGAACTGAAGCAGAGACTATGTGCAGAGACCATGGAGGGATGGTGCATAACAGCTTGCTCCCCATGGCTTGCTCAGCCTTTCTCCCCACCCCCTTTTGTTCTTAAAAAAAAAATGTATGTGTATGAGTGTTTTGCCTGCATGTATATATGTGCACTACCTGTGAGCCCGGTGCTCAGAGTTCAGAAGAAAGTACTAGTTCCCGTGGAATTGGAGTTTATACAGTTGAAAGCCGCTATGTAAATGATGAGAGTTGAATCTGGACCCTCTGGAAGAGCAGCCAATGCACTAACCACTGAGCCATCTCCCTAGCTCCTCAGTCTGCTTTCTTATAAACCCAGGACCACCTTCCCAGGGGTGGCATTGCCTCCAATGGGTTAGTCCCTCCTACATCAATCATTAATAAGAAAAAAAAAATGCCCAGAGGGGGGAAAAAAGGCCAGCCTATAGAAGAAATCCCTTAAGTGAGAGTCTTTCATCCCAGACATGTCTAGGTTTGTGTCAAATAGACAAAAACCAACCAGCACAAATTTTAAAGAGCGATATGTAGGAGCTGGAGAGATGGCTCTGTGGTTCAGAGCACTGGCTGTTCTTCCTGAGGTCCTGAGTTTGATTCCCAGTATTTACATGGTGGCTCCCGGCCGTCTGTAACTATAGTCCCATGAGTTCCAATTCTTCCTTCTGGTATGCATAGATGTACATGCACACAAAAGCACCCACACACATATATAAATAAATCTTGAGAGACAGAGTCTCGGTTACGGTTTCTATTGCTGTGAAGAGACGTTATGACCATGGCAACTTTATAAAGAAAAACAGTTAATTGGGGCTGCTTATAGTTTCAGAGGTTTAGTCCATTATCATCATGGCAGGATATGGTGGCGTGCAGGCAGACATGGTGCTAGAGAAGGAGCTGAGAGCTCTACAACTCCATCTGCAGACAACAGGAAGTGAACTGTCTCACTCCGTGTAGCTTGAGCCTAAGAGGCACCCACCCTCACAGTGACACACTTCCTCCATCAAGGACATATTTACTCCAACAAGACCACACCTCCTAATAGTGCCGTTCCCTTTGGGGGCCATTTTCTTTCAAACCACCACAAAGAGAGAGGTAGACAAAAGAATACCTTTTATTACTGCCAACTTTCGCAGTGCCTTTACAGAGGGATCTGTGAGGACCCTGACAGGCATGTGTGCTACAGATGCTCTTGGTGGATTTGCAAACCCAGCAAGGGACTGTTCTGTTGCTCAGCAGAGGCCTTGCCAGGGTTCATCCTGATGATGCCAGGCTGAGATACTGTGCTGGGTTGGGCCTTTCCCAGGGAGAAGATGACCAGGACAGGTTCAGCCAGCTGCAGCAGACTGTACTGCCTGAGGGTCCTGATTCCATCTCCTTCTACAATGCCAAAGTCAAGACAGAACAAAAGGTAACTTGGGACATTCATGTGTATGAGGCTGGGGGACCCAAAGACTATATTACTAGGACACCCAGAATCACCAACCCAACAGGGTGGGTGGGGATTGATGGTACCAACCCAGGAAGATTGAGTGTCACCCTTAGTCTATAGGTGTCTTCTGCTGGCTTTAGACTGGAACAAGGCTTGACTTTGAAAGTTAGGGAAGGAGAATCACATAGATCATGGCCAGGTCTGGACATGGCTGGTAAATGCTAACTTAGCCATGTACGGTGGCTCACAGCCCATGATAGTCTAGGAAAGAAATCCTCTGAGACCACTGTCTGTGGAAAAGGGCCTGTCCAAGTGGGCCATCCTGCACAAATGGCAGAGGACAGATGACCATATGTAGCCAAGGTGAAACTAGACATGGTAAGCCATAGGTGGAGCCTGGGACTCTCAGAGTCTCCATCTACCAGGGCCCTGAATCTGTGCATCCCACTGTGCTCAGGTGATTTTGTTATTTGTTTGGTTTGTTTGAGACAGGCAGTCATGTTTCCCAGGCTGGTCTCAAACTTGCTAAGTAGCCAGGGATAACCTTGAACTCCTGATCCTCTTGCATGGACTTTCTTTTTTCTTTTTCTTTCTTTATTTTCTTCTTCTTCTTCTTTTTT